CCAGCCAGACAAGGGATCCCGCCAGATACGCTCCTCCCTGCCTCACAAATTACGATGGGCACCTACAAAGTCCGTGTGACCACCGGGAACTTCCTGCTAGCTGGGACGTTCAGCTCCATCTCCATCACCCTGGTGGGGACCCATGAGGAAAGCGACAAGAAGCCCCTCGCCAGTTGGGGGAAGGACTTCAACCCTGGGGCGGTGAGTACTAGTAGAACGGGCCAGGCTCTGTGGACAGAACCTCCCAGTAGAAAGTGTGGGGGGGGGTTGCCAATGCTTGTGACTTGGGGCTGTTTGATCATTAATCCCGAGCTTCTGGAGTCATGGGGTTACGCTGGGCGACTCTGCATTCATTTGAAAAAATATTGAAGTTTCTAGTCTGAACTAAGTGCAGCTTAAAAGATCTCCAAATAGTTAGTGTTTTTTTCTTAAATCTCCAGTGCCTGGAGTCACGTGATTATTACAGGAGACTGGCAGCTTTTATTGTGAGAATGTTACTGCTTATGCTAGAGAGGAGAAAGGGGTGCAAATTTTCAACAGTAATTTTTTTTATGGTGAAAAATTGCTATTTGGCACGACCTTTCACAAATTTTCACTGATTCCACTGAACTGTTTGAGGTCAAAACAAAAAAATCTGAATGTTTCAGTCTTCTAATTTTCAAAATGAAAGTATTCAATTTTTCTAGGCAATGAGCATTTCTTTTATGTTTCATTTTGTTTAAAACATTAAAAAGTTGCTTGAGATCAAAACAAAACATTTTGTTTCAGGTTGAATAAAATATTTTGTTCAACCTGAAATGATGTCCCTTGATTTTTTGATTGGCCAAAAATTTCATTTTTTCGGTTTGACCAGAAGTGAATCCCACCCCCCCAACTTTGTTGGAATTGCCGGAATTGAAAAATCCATTCTCTGCCCTTATTATACTATGTGGGGAGGATGGTCCAGTGGTTAAAGTAATTGACAGGGCTATGCTAGATCCTGGTTCTATTCCCTGTGCTACCACTGTCTGAAAGCCTGTGACTCAGTTTCCCCATTTATATAATGGGGATAACAGCACTGTACTACTTCATAAAAGTGCAGTGAGGGTAAATGTGTTAAAGATTCAAGATGCCTCCATATAGCAGTGATGGGTGCCAGATAAGTGCCTAAAATAGACTAGCTTTAGAAATGCCTCAAAAATACAAAGCACATGGGTTGCTGCTTTTTTTTAATCTCATGATTTGTAAACCAAACTTGGGAGGGATGCTGAGGGATGGTGCGTGTTAGGGGGCTTTCCCTTCACCCCCTCCCCTGGTTCTTGTCACGCAGACAGAAAGCAGAAGACCAGAAGTCGGAAGTGCAGGCAACGTGATGTTTATTGGGGTTAGTTCCAAGCAAACATCCATCGCTCTACACGCCGGCAGAGTCTATTTCCCAGGGTTCTGTTCCCAGCTCTGATGCTGCAGAGCCCAGCCTGTGTTCCTGTTCCCCATTTCCCCCACCTCCTCCTTATCAGCCCCACATATACCAGCCGCGCACACCCCTGGTCCCACCCCTTGCAGCTTATGGTCATGTTCCATTTTGGAGGGGCGTGGGCGTGGGGTCCCAGCACCTTTGTACCCCGTGGGAGGGTATAATGGAGCACGACTCACCACTGTGGCACCTCCTGCTGGTTGCTCCGGGGATTAGCTCACTCCAGCTCTGGAGTTCCCTCTGCAGCGGGTGTCCTGCCCATTGTCTACCCTACTCTGCTGTTTCAAACCCGCGTTGCTCCCCTGCTTGGCGGGATTCTCTTCAGGATGCTGCCCTCCGGCAGTGCCCACTACTTCTTCCTCACCCCCCTTCCGGGGGTCACGGCAGTCCTGTGACTTGCACCTGCCTCGGGGCCAACCACAACCCAAAGTCTGGCCCCTCTCTGCAGGGGCAAGTTGCAGTCTGTATTGGCCCTGCTCCTCCGTGGCCAGGTGCAGTGCACGGGGGGGACCCAGGCCCACCCACTACTCTGGGTCCCGATCCAGAGATCCTCTAGTGGCAGCCTCCCTGCCTTCCTCTCCCCTTCTCTACATATCGTTCTGGGCCACTTCCTCTTGGCCCTTCTTGGCCCTTTCTAATGGGGGCCTGCAGCCTAGCAGGCAACAGGCCAGAGCTCCCCCTCCGCTCCCCTGAGCCTGCCCAGCACTGCTCTATCTTCGGTGCTATCCCTGAGAGCCCGTCCTCCTCCCTGGCTTGTCGGGGGGAGACTCCCTTCTGCTTTGCTGGGCCGCTCCTTATATCTGTGCTGCCGCAGCAGCTGCCTCCCGTGCGGCTCCTAACAAGCCTCGCCCTAATTAGCTACAGGTTTCCACAGCCTCCCTGGCTGCTTCTGCCCCACCCCCGGCTGGAGTGGGCCACCTGCACCGCTACAGCGGGGTAAGGAGTGAGGTTGTGTCCTGGCCAAGGCCAGGCTCATCTCCAGCTTTTAGTGTGTTGTATGCCTTCCCCCTGTTATGCTTAAACAAAGCACACGAGATCTTTTATAGGGGAGAAGGCAATACGCCACATGTATTGAGAATACAGCAGTTAGCATATGCTTTTCAGTCACACACACACACACCATGCACACAGTCCCGCCAGTCGATGTCTATAGTTACCAGTCCAGAGTCTGGATCAATCTAGTGGCCAGGCAGATTGGTCGCAGAGGGGAGCCGGGCTCTGTCGGTCTCAATCCGATGCTCCTGGAGTAGTGGCAAGATGAACCCACAGTCCCATGGCAAAGCACCCTGTTCTTATAGTCCCTTTTCTCTGTTGAAGTCTATGGATTTTGCTGTGTCGGTTTATGACCGGTTACTCCTTAACTGGTGTTATCTTTTGATGTAAACCTTCCAAAACACCTCTGAGAGGGTCATCCCGGATTGGATTTAATCAATTGTCTTTAGGGGTTCCAGCCTCCACCTCAGGGTCATCAATCTGCCCTTCCTCAATCATGGATGCACCGTGATGGTTCTCTGGCATCAATAAGTCTCGATGAGTGTCTTCAGGGCCGGCTTTAGGCCAATTCAGCCGATTCGGCTGAATTGGGCCCCGCGCCAAGAGGGCCCC